AATGGTCAAAACTACTAGAATATAGTCAAATTTACCGCGTTTCTGTATCTTTGGGAATACCAATGAGTTCCGTAATTTTTACCGAAGCACTTTAGTGTCATGCTTTTGGTGAAATTAACAATTAAATATGGTTTTGTAATATATGACAAAATTTGGTAAAGTGGGTAAAATTTGTTAATTTTTTAACGATACTTTAGAGCATGACCTGAAAACCCTTTATTCTGTTAAATTTACTTCTCAGTTTAGTATTTTTTACTAAATGAGTGGTAATAGGAACTGCTATTTTGAAAGCTAGAATTTCCGGTAAAATTTTACGAAAAAATTACCAATTGAGTAGTTGAAATACAGTATATTTGGTTTTATTAAACAAAAATATGTTTTTTTTTCTTTACCAGAAATGGCGTTACGTTATTGTACGGTTATTTAACCAGAATTTCCGGTAAACTGTTACAATATGAACGAAACAATTACTAAATGAATGGTCATATACCGTATATTTAGGTTTCATTTACTGGAATTGTTTTTTTATAACCATAAATGTCAGTTGCGGTAATTTAACCAGAATTTTTTTCTATATGTGGAAAAGCAAAACATTTACCAAATTACTAATTAAATATTTACTCCACTGCTTAGTAAATTAAATTTTACAATTGCATTCTTTTTAATTGATCAAATCTATAACAAACAAATTAATAAAAATGAACTAATATTCTGTTACACAAAATGATTCACTTCTGCATGAAAATTTTTTTTTACGATATATGATATGAATTTTAATAATCAATTTGGCCATACACAACTGAATTTTGTCATTCCCTTTACTGAAATACCGTTTTAAAATCGATTTCCGACTCGCACACCCTCGAGAGTATTTTAACTATCTCTCTCAACAAAGATTAAAGATACTATCGCAATATATAATTCTCATAACAAATGCAATTTAATTCCCTAATTGATCTATTATTAATTAATCTCTTAATACCACCTCAATACATCAGCAAAGTACATATTTATATTTATTTTGAATTTGATTTAAAAATATATTACTGAACATTTTTTATCCACCTAAAATAACAGAAAATATCATCTTCTTGTTAGTAAATTAAATTTATTTCCGATATTCCGGAGACCGTTTATACGTTTTTGCTTGCTTAGAAAGAGAACTTATTTTCATGTAAGTGATAAAACAAAAACGTTTCCGGAAAACTTTTAAAAATGTATTTCTTCTCAGAAGGTTTTTGTAATTGCTGCAAAAATTTAATAAGTGTCAATTTTTTCAGGGAATCTCCTGAAATAACTTTTCCGAAAATTTTAAGCCACATTTGTATCTCAAAATGTTTCAGCTTTGTTTCAGGAATATATTAAATTTGTAAAAATTCTCGAAGAATAGAATCTCCAAGAATCATAGCATCGTTGATGATAATATCGTAGATATTGTTCCATCACATTGCATTAAAATAAGAAGCATCTTTTTAGTTGCTTTGTCTCAAATATTTGATTTTGGTTACAGAAAATAGTTCGTCAAAACATGATATTAGATGACTCGGAAATAGTTGGAAAAAAGCCACACATCTTCTGCTGAAATATGGAATCAACATGAAAACAAAAATATAAATGTAAGGGACATTTGACAAAGAAATTCATTAACAGTTTCAATGTCATTCTTTCGAAAATTTGAGGTATTGACAATCATACAAATCGATGAAAAGTTGAAAAATTATTAATGTTTGCTACTTTTAATATCTGCTCTAGGCTAGGTATTTTATTTTATTTTATTATCGTCGCTGAACAGTCGACCCAAATTTGAGTTTACGGCTACCAGTGTTAATTTTGAACCTAATCCAGAAGACAAGCGAACTCCTGATCAAGTAGTGGGAGAAATTTGCCTTCGTGGTGGACTTTTTGACAGAACTAACCAACATTTGCGTTACATGGAGAGGAAAACCTCGAAAACCTCCCACTGTTAGCCTGATGGTAAAGGGACTATAACCCATGATAACACTGAGGATATTTTACGTCAGCACTGTGGTCAGTGCAAGCTGGATGCGGAATTTTTATCGACCAACCATCACTGGGATTCAAGCCCAGTTCACCTCATTGGAAGGCGAACACTCTATCCCCTGAGCCATCATGGCTCTAAGCTAGGTATTGAACTACAATGAACAATATAATCAAATTGTATTGATCGATTCATTGGTTAGAAGTCGACATAAAAATAGTTCAACATAAAAAGAGGAAAACGGTGATATTTAAGGAGTATGTTTATGTTTGAATATAAGCAGGCATTATAAGATTTAGCAAATGAATTACATTTTTTCTGATGCGTTCCGATTCTTACACGCGAATTAGCTTTAATATTTCAAACTTTCATGTTCATTGTAAGTGTTAAAAATTATTACATTCATATCCCTTTTTGAGATAATTTATGCATTTGTGGATTTTAAAAGTATAGTTTTCTCAGATGTTGTCTTGTTTGTTTTATTGATTTTTAATCAATGTAATATTTCTAAAATATGTTTGAGCCATGCTTGAACTTTAAACAAGTTGAACATGTTTGACTTGTTTTCTGAGATTTAAAAAAAAATAAATTTTTTTTTGATACCTATTAAAACGTTGATGTTCATTACACATATTGCAAAATTAAAATTATGCACAAAGGAGAAAATAGTTGGTGTGAACATTTTTTACAAATTTGTCAAAAAGCAATATTATAGTTTTTACTCGTGAAATAATTTTAAAAATAGTTTTGATATTTCAATGCATTCTTAATCATATCTTAACTTACAAAGTTGCTTACTTTTTCCAAAAAAAACTTTTTAAAAAAAGATTATTTTTGCTCACACTAACTTCACTACAAGGAACAAGCTATGGTTCTATTGTGGAAAATTTCAATAATTTGTTAAGTTGTCATACATTGCAATTATTAAAGTATATCTGAAGCCGATATGAAATTAATTTCAATCAAAGCTTTATTGGATTATAAATGTTCTTATAAAATAATTAAACTAATAATCTGTGATAGAGCCTTACCCAATACTAAGAAATACATTTTGAACACAAATCATTAATACAGTTTAAAACCATTTTTCAGTTTAGTTCATGTAATAATTATTTTTATTTTTAGTTTATTTTATCAAAACAATTAAGTATGTATTAATATGTAGTCTTGGTAGTTCTAGTAGTCACTTGCGATGAAAGTTTGATAAATATTTTCTTTCTTGAAATTTGACAATTTCTTTTCTGGAAATAATTATATCCATGTTTCGTTTTAAAGATTTTAACATTATAATTTCCAAATATATAAATAATTTCCACTCTATTATCATAATGCACCTGCTTTTTATTAAAAAAAATACTTGAGTAGCAGAAAGTTTATATTTTATAATTTCCACTCTATAAACATAATGCACCTGCTTTTTATTAAAAAAAAAAAAAAAAAAAAAAAAAAAAGAACTTTAGCAGCAGAAAGTTATATCTTATTGCTACATGGTTTTCTATAAGTTTATACGATATATTTATATCGATCATGTATCATTTGCTACTTAAAAAAAGATTTAAAAAAACTAAAGTTACTAGTTTATAAATGAAAAAATCTACTTAAATCGTGTCTATACCTGTCCCACTATCATGCGTTTACATTAGCTGTACGAAGACACATGTTTGTTGAAGCCAAATGCTGATTAATAGAAATTATACTGAAAGTTAATATTTAAATAGGTAAAAGACGGTATCATTTATAACACATTATCACATTCAATTGCAATTCTGAAAATAAAATATGTCAGTAAAAGAGTAAAGAGATAATTTGAAACTTACTTTAGCACCTTAAATAACAAATTAGTACTAAAATATTCACAATGTGTTTATGTAGCTGTACATGGAAGTGTGCACCAGTGTTCTATAAATACACCAGTAGATCTGTAAATGAAAATAACATTCGAGATGTCCACTTTTGCCCGATGTCCACACTATTCCCCTTTCCCCCTATGTTTAAATTATTATTTGTGATATGTGGATATATTATGACTTAGGAATAAATACATATTATTATGCTTTAAAGTGTATTTAACTTTTTATGCTAAATTTTAGTGCTATTGTTGTTGTTGTTTCGAATGGCACTTGCCACACGGGCAAGCCTGCTTGGAGAAACCGAGCTAATTTAAGGCAGAGTGTGCGATTCTTGTCTTTCAGTAGCGCCATCTATGGCCAAGAATTCGACTTCTGCCCCACCATGCGTCGCACCCGTTTATAGGGTGGACCCATTCATACATCCACTCATTCATCCACAGATCGTAATTTCGACCTGAATCAGAGAGCGATCGATCTCCAATCCAGTACCCCCAAAGTTATTGATTTTCCATGGCAACATGGAGGACTTTTGCGGATTTTTGTAGATTTTCGCCTAAGATTAAAAGGAAGTGAAGGTCTGTTTTATGTGGTGGCAACGATTAAAAGGTTGCTATTTTAATTCTCGTGGCTACATTATTTGCTGTTTTAGTCGCCAGTCAGTGCTTTTACCCTGCTTTGTGCTTTGGCTCCATATTCGTAGTCATTGTAGCACGTGTTTTAGATTCGCTATTGATATACATTGATTTTATTAATTTTAGTAATTAATACTTGATTTTAAGACTTGGATAATCTCTTATGGTAATTTTATTTATTATAAGTTTTGAATTAAAAAAATGTTCAATTTTTATGTTGTATGTTATTACATCACGTGTTAAATCTTATATTTATAAATATTATAATCGCTCGATTATTGATACAGTTAAGTGCTTTTTTTCCCCTATGAACGTGTAAATGTTGAATAAACGTATAGCTAATATAAAGAAACCGTGATTATATTTAATTCCGCAAGCATGTTATCAGATCTGTTATGGTATGTTGTAGGGTTTTATTATTTTCAAAAGTTTCATTTATAGTTTTGGATTTTAAATACTCTATTCTATACTATTCATCTATCTCTGTGCATCTTCTGTGTTGCATCTTCGGATATCATAATTCAATGTTGAAATATTTGAAACCCCATGTTCCTGATGTAGTTCTAGGTCGCAAACTTTCCAGGATTTAAAATTAAATGTTTAAAGGAGTTTAGTGGATTTGATGTGGTTGCTCTACATATTGGTAAGTACCCCGTCTAATTCACATCTATTTATTGATAGACTGAAACTGTGCCTTTACCTTTTAATAGAACTCAGTGGTTGTGTTTTAAAGAAAAGGGTTTTCTATGAATAACGATTTTTATTTTTTAGTTGTTATATCTTGAATAAATTATGTGAAGGTTCCTGAAAATATGTACATTTTCTGTTACGTTTTTCAAAATAAAAAAAATAGAATAGCTGAATTTGTTAAGAAAGAATGTGATTCATCAATCTTTTCAATGTTTATGCTTTTTCTAGCTTCTGTTTCAATGGAAACCGTATTTCTCTCTATTTATTTAATTTTCAGCTTTTATATTTATACCCAAAACTCCAGGAATGTGCATTAAACTGCCAAACACAAATTTCTGATTTGTAATTGTTAATGAATCAAAAAAATTTCATTCCTCTTATTTTATGATTTCAAAATAAAATATACTTTTATTTGTTTATAAACTCACTAATGTCTTTAGATATTATTTTTATAATGCTGGGGTTCTTTCCCACTATTTTGATAAAGATTTAAAACCACTGTAGTAGAAGCAGTTTTTCATAATCATTTTAAGTATTTTATAAATAAATAATCTTGATAACTTTAATTTCAGGTTCTATTGATTGCTTGTGAATTGTAGAGCCAATATAACAGTATGAAAGATTAGGAAATTTTGTTGAACAATCCTAGAAGGGTATAGTATAAAAAATGTTTATTCATGTTTTTGCCCTTTAATTCTTGTTTTTTGGAGATTTATAAATGGTGTTCTATTGTATAGTGTCATGACCGTTTTTACCAACAATGAGTGCCTAAAGATTTTATAAAATCCATAACATTCTTTACCTTTTTTGATAAATTTGAGCGACTGCCATTCTTGTTTAAGAATTTTATAACACAAAGTAATGTAAGGCCTAAAATATCTATAAATGTAAACGTTTCTTCTTTTCAAGTTAAGGGTAAAGGAATTCAAAGATTTAAGTGAGAATAAGTATTAAATGGTCATGACACAAAAGGAATATATGCCTCTTGGGGAACCCGCCTTGCTATATGCTGTTAGGTTGTTCCATAGATTATAGTGTACTTATTACTTGTTCCTGGTTTTCTATTGGGATAATGGATTATAAAAATTTTAAACCCTATGCAATGTTGTTTTAAAGGTTTTTTTTTATAGATATTTAATCATTTTAAATAAAAAAGAAATTTGCATAATTATAGAGTGTTTCGTATTTTAAGTATAATAATCAGTTTTTAAATATGTTTTTGGAACAACCTAATAAAAGGGGTCAACGCATCTGTGCAACCGTACCTCTTGAGCAGAGCTGTATTTACCTGTAGAGCTTATTTATAAAGTGTTAAGAGTTTCATTTTAAAAAATTGTGAAAGTAAAAATTTTAAATTTCACTTTATAAAAGCATAAAGAGTTTACAGCCCTGCTCTTGGGTGATGTGGAAAATGGTTGCAATCATGCCTGTTTTAAAAGTTGAATTTCAGGTCTGTTCTTTCTGAGGAGAGTTGCAGAGCCAAATTTACAAGCATTGACTTAGCCTAGTGGTGAAAGCTGGAACAGCCTGTCATCATTAAACATCTTGTCTGTCCTAGGTGATGAAAGTTTGTTCAATCAGCTGTATATTCAAATCCGGTTAATTTCTGAAAGAGGAGCCTGTTTAAAACTTCAGTGTTACCTTTTGAAGGACAACAGTGTTTTAGAATGTATTTGTATGTCATGTATATAATAAAACTATTGTGCTTGGTTTTTGTTCAACAATTACTGTGTTTATATACATGTTTTTTAATAAATTTCCAATTCTCACACTACCGAGTTAATGTACCTTTTAATAATATATCCTGTCAGCAGCACCTACTATTTTTTGCAAGTTGTATAATTTTTACAAAATTTTTTTCTTTTTTCAAAGAGAGAATGTTTAGTTAAAATTTTATCTCATTGAAACTTTATGCATCATTTTACAGAATTCTAAGTATAAAAACTATTTATGTTCATAAATTATGTATTTAGAATTTCCAATATCAAATTGATTCTTAACTTAATAGACAGTTTTAAGTAATGTTTCAAAAAAGATGCCACATTTTCATTACCTGACTAACGCTTTACTAATCACTGTGTGCAACAAAACTTTAATTGTAATGGTGCTGACTTGCTCAATGTTGCTGCATTTATACAAAAGTATTAAATTTAAACAAAATTACCAAACATTTTTGTCTTAAATATTTCTAGAAATAGCACTCTGAAAATTGTGTTGCCTTAGTAATTAAAGGGTTGTTATTAAACTAATGTGCAGGCCTGTAGAATCTTGTTTTAAGTTTCTAGTTTGTTTGTTTTTTTTTTGCAAATAGTTATTGAAGCTAGTGTCCATTGCAGAAAATAATATTTTAAACACTACGCACAGTTGGGAAATTAATTCTATAAGTTTTCCCCTGTAATATGTTTTCTTGGCATAAATAAGTTGTTAGAAGCTCATATTCAAATTTATTCCATTTTTTTTATTCAAATAACCATCGAATCTCCAGTATACGAAACTGTTCAAATATAATAAATCAAAATTAAGTAAGCACTAATAAAAATAAAAAACAATTTTATGCAATAATCTCATTTTAATTATTGAAGCTGAAACAATTTTTTAGTCTTACAAAAATATTAGAAACAATGATTCGTTTTTTTTTTTTTTATCTCCTTGCATCAAGAGTAGAACATTTTAGAGAGACGAGAAGAGATGTCCTTTCATGAATGTATTGGTTTTTTTTTTAAATTCTTTCTTTTGCTTAAAATGGAACCCCTTATGGAAAATGGCTGCTTTAAAATTAGTTAACCCTTTGCTTAGGGTGCACCATTGTACCAGCTGTAAGCAAAAGATAAATGTTTTTTGCCAAATTATTTAGTAATATGTGAAATTAATTCCTAATTACAGTTTTGGCTGGAAATAATTTTATATAAAGCTAATTATAAAAATTAATGTAACATATTTGCCATTTAGTAATAATTTCAAAATATTTAAATCGCTTTCTACTTTTAATGAACTGAATCATAACAATAGTAGAGAATTATGAAAAATTAAATTTATATTTTAATAAAGGAACCTTAACAATTTTCTGACCATGAAAAATCTTTTTAGACAATTTTATTTATATGTAACATTGAGAACTAATATATGCGATATCTTTGCTCGAAAATTATAAATCCTCTCAAGTTTAATTGTATTTTAATCCTATAAAATGTTTCTATAATTCATTTTATAAATAGACGGGTAAAAAATTCTTTTTTTGAAGATGTGTAAAAAATAGCATAATAATTCGCATAGGGAGGCACAGCCTTTTTGAGTGAAGGGCCACATTCACAGCAGATTGACCATTGAAAGGCCGCATGACAAGCATTTAGAACGACATGTTAACCATGTAATACGTTTGCATGAAATTAAATATCTTTAAGTGTTTAAAATTAAAAACTGATTACTTAGGGAAAAAATAGAATCAATTATCAGGAAAAAATTTAGATAAATTGCAAAATAATGAGAAAATTCATGCTTTTTTTGTCACATTACAAAATATTAAAGTTCATTTAACGATAAATTTAACATTAAAAATTTTTAATGTTCATACAATTAAATTTTAAAAAAATTAAATATTCTAGTTGATAAATTAAATGTTAGTTTAATTAAAGCAAAACCTTTGCAGGGCGAAATAAGATTCAACATTTAGTAGACAATATACTCCAACTTTAAAACATTTTAAATAAATTATAAGAGAAAAGAAAATAAACCATTAATTTTGAAGGAATTATTTACCTTAATAATAAAAAACTATTAAGATAATTGTTTACAACTCTTTATGACCAATACTTTTTAACATGACACAACTTACAATTAATACACATATATATTAACAACTAATTAAAATTTACATTACGCTACTCATCTTGATTACACTTTTTTACTGTTAAAATTTGGGGATATACAAATTTCCCAGCATATGATCATAAATGATACAAGATGGTCCATCTAAATAGCACATGGCTTAAAAAATTTCTTACGGGTTAACCTGCAATTTGCAAAATTTTCAAATATTGTGATAATTTTATCTACTTGATCATCTGATAGCTTTTTCGGGCTGTTAAATGAAAATTTAATAATTTTGTTTAAAAATTATTCCGCAATCTCTAGAACATGCCCAATTCATTCTGGAAAACAAGTCTTTCTGCAGAAACTAATCTTGTGATCAGTTTAAAACTAAGGGCAAATAACTTATTCAGTGTTTGGAATTTGTCTCACATGGTGCTCTTCCTTTCCTTATTTTTAAATCGTGAGAATGCGAAGAGTGGTGTGTGATTTTTAAATCACTTCACGAATTGTTATGTGTGATATTTAAATAGCGTGAATACAAATCGAGATGTGTGATTTTTAAAATTGCGAGAAGAAGATTCACAGCGTATGATTTTTTAAACACCAGAATACGAATCACGATGTGTGACTTATTTACGAGAAGAATCAAAACGCATGATTTTAAAAACACACGAATCACGACATGTGATTTTTAAATCATGCGATCACGAAAAAGAATAGGTTGGATATGTGTTATTGAACATGCACAAGTTCATGATACTATAGAATTGTGCACGTGTATTGAAATGTTCTCCTGCAAAAGGGATTCACGTTCAATATAAATGTATACAACTCGTTTTTATTTATTTATTATTATTATTCTCTTTGGGGAGGTGTCGATTTTGCTAAAATACGTAAATACTTTTTAAATTACCAAAAAAAATAGAATCGAATTTCATGAGTTGTAATATGTGTTAAAATATCGGGATATTCAAAATCACAATACATCAATAGCTGCCGAAAAAGGAAGAAGAAAATAACATTTAACCTCTAATATTTATGTCAAAATCGGCACAATTAGAGCACGTAAAAAATTATTATTTTAAATCGTGATTCATAACTCGTGTTCCGTGAAACTATACATGTCAGGATTTTTTAAATCACGGGGAAAAGCGTAGTACCTAGCGAAAAGTCATTGGATTTATCATAAAATCAGTATACACGAAGAGGGTCAAAAGTAATAAACAAAATTCGAAATGATCTATAGTCGTATTAAAAATATTGGTATTGTGAAAACTATGCGCAAATTCGCAGTATTAACTAACGGAAAAAAGCAATCGAAAAACTACATTGAGAGAGATTATTGCGTCAGAAACCTAAATGCGCAATTATAAATTTTCGAAAAAAAATTGCATTAATCTTTTTATTTTTTTCAAGTTGCTAGAGCAAGTCGCACTTTAAAGTTTGTCGGGCCGCTTGTTCCACACCCCTAATTTACATAATAATTTCACTTCATAAAAATAGATATTTTTTTATAAATGAAGTAGTTTAATTTAATTTTTAATTTAAAGCACTGTAATAAGTCTAAATATTTTTAAAAAAATGCAATATTAATTATATTCAAAGCTCACTTGTAATGGAAATTTTATTAACAATTACAATTATTATTTTATATAAACTAAAAAATATTCGCAAGGTTTAAGAATCCTCGTTGTTTTATTAAGGACAGTCATTTTATTTTCCCATTATAATTAACGGCACATTAGTATGCTCTTAAAATGAGTTGAATAAATACCAATTTATGTATCAAGTTAGTTTTTCTTTAATTATTAAAAAAGTCTTGTTCTAAGGACAATTATTATGCTTTTCAAGCAAAACCTAATGATCTCGTTCAATAAATTTTGAAAAAACACCACCTTGGTAAGAAGTGAGTTTCTTTAAGTGGGCCCACTCAAACAAACCAAGCTCGGGTTCGCGAAATTTTCCTGGTAATGAATACAATTGTATCAGTACTTAAATTATAATGAAATTTCTCTCTTATTATTTATTTATTTATTTAAAAAAATACATAAATTGTCACTGTCACTGGGGGCATATGTAAATTTTAGGATGAACAATTATTATACTATATTTAATGCCCTTAGTTTTTCAAAACAAATACTTAATTTTTTTCAGAAAGAAGTCCTTAAGAGTTCTTAAATTTTGCTTTGTTAAAAAAGTGGGAACCCTGAATTAAGTTGTAGTGACTTACAACAAATTTTCGAGGTAAGATTACTTTTTAATATTTCGTAAAGGAATACAAGATTAGTCTATTTCCTCGTCAAAATAACTGTTAAGTATGGTTCCAAATTGCTAGAGAAAACCTTTTTGATTTTTTTAAAAACAAAATACAGTCTCTAAGTGAGAAATAAAAAATGTCTATGTTTTTAATGTTATCTAGTGAAATTTTTGGTAATTTGTTAGGTAGGTCTTTGAAAATCATACTAAAGAGCAGTTTAAAGTTAAAATATTACTTTTGGAAAATGCTGTATTCATCCCTCTAGGATATTGCTTTTCTAGGATATATGGCGAATTTCGGAAATTTCGCTCCAGTGGCTGATTGTAACATTTTTAACTAAGGCCATTTTTTTCAGAACTTGAAAGTTTTAAATGATTAAAAAAAACTTCATATTGGTGATATAAGGCATTCTTTTCAAGTATTTCTTAAAGTAAAGTATGGTAAAATTTACAAGGATGATTTCGAAAAAAGAAAAATTTTAAACTTGAAATAAACCAAATTTCACAATATTATAAAATATTCTTAACAATTTCAACTTTCTTTTTTAATAAAAATAATAAAATGGGATACATTTTCGAAGGAAAAGTTACTATCGAATTTACAATTGCATTTCTTATGCATAAAGTTCCATTTTTTAACTGCCAGACTATTTTTAAATCACTACTTATGCTTAGTCGCCCTGATGTGGCCGTTATTTACGTTAATGTTGTCCTAAAAAACAAGTTCTTCAATTTTAAACTTTCTACTCCAGCAAAAATACGTATAAGAAAATCTGAGTAAAATAGTAGTGCAGCACTTATTGTTTAAACAAGAAAAAATTTTTAAATTAAAACACATAAAACAAGAAATTAAAGCAGTTATTCATTTAATTTGCACACGACACGCGTACTTATGCAGTTATGCTTTGAAATTTTAATTATTAGATAATTAATAGTTAAAATTGTTAATTTTTTTTGTTACTAAAGATGTAATTTTTTCAAGTAAATATATAAATTTTGCTTTTGTGTTTCGAAAGCAGAAGCAAGTTTTGATTTCCTTCATATTTTAAAATATTAAATAACGCTCAAAACTTGTTCCTCTTTAATTGTTTAGGCATAAAAAATATTCGTTTTTATGATAAATGTAAAAAAAATCGTACGTAAGCATGATTAATGGAGCTGGTGGGTTCCTACTGGCAGTTCCATAAATTTATAAGTCTTATATTGTAGTTAAATTCATTGATTTAGGATTTTATTGTTTGTGTGTGCAATTACGAAGAAAAAAAAAAGGAAATGTATGTTTTGAATTTTTAAATTAATATTAATAAGTTCCTAAACTTTTCATTTTTTTTCAAGTCAAGTAATTTTTCACGGATCTGAAATTACCTCCTTCGGTTTCACTGTTTATCACAAAACTAAAGATAATGCTAAAACATCTGAAGATATATAAAACCTTTTTAAGCCTTTTAAAGACATGGAGTTTTTGGGAGTTTATCCCAACCAACCTTAATAAATAAACAAGTTAAACTTCATTGTCTTAATCAAACATAATGAAAAAAAATTAAGTTCTCAAGAAAGTTGCACATTTCCTATCTGCACAAATAAAAGGGAATTACATAAATGTAATTAAACTACGAATTAATAAAATTTTTGCTGTCAAAAGAATAAATGCAAAATTTACTACACAATTAAAAAAAAAATTCTCTTGTTTACAAAATAAATAATACTTAGAAAATTAAACATTTGATATATAAATAATAGAAGCAAAAGGCCCCTTTAAAAAAATGGACTATGAATTGATTATAGCTTTTCATGCTCTACAGTTTTTTATATAATCAAATAGACAAAATTGAAATTAAATTAATGTATTTTAAATACAAATAATTAGATAATTTAAACATAGGTTCTAATTTATTTTATTTTATAACCATTGTTGAGCATTCAAATTTTTGCGCTCTTTAGAGATACGAGTGAGAGAAACTACTCGACTAAGGTAAACTTGAAAGAGGGTAAGTTCTTGGAATTTTGTTGCCACCGGGAAGATAGGACCTTCACTTCCTTCTAATCTTAGGCGAATATCTACGTCACTATGAAGTAGTGATGTCATTTTTATTACATAATAAATAAATATCATACACATGTTTTTACTCTAGTAGCGCCATCTACTCAAAAAATATTATGGGTAGAATAAAATTTGGCCTTCTGATATGAACTTGCTTTAATATAGAAGGTGTGAATGCAGAGGAATAAAACAAAAAATAGTTATGAATATTTTATTTGAATTGACAAATTAAATTGGCACATTCTTGAGTTTCCAAATCCAAAGAATTGGTTACATAGTAATTAATTATTAAAAACTATTTCTGGTCCTCATAACAAAAAACTAATATTCACTAAAACCTTTTATTAACTATTAGCGATAAGCAAGCTTACTAAAATAAATAATTATTGAAGTCAAAATTCATTTCAGTACTCTTCGTAAGCAAATTTTTTATACATATAAACTGGGAAATAATGCTTACATATATGTTTTGATTTGCGGAGCAGTAAATTAAAATATCGTTTCTTTATAATGAACAGTAAAGCTGCCATAATTAAACACGTTTAAGTAAATAAGCCATTTTTTTAGTTTTCATCAGCTTTTTAACAGTTTTAGTATATAAAAAACACGTTCTCTTTTATGAAATATTTTTTATAAATAATTAAGTATCTTTAATTGGGCAAATTTATTTTCATTAGCAAACTGGCTGTGTAAAATATAATATTAGTATTACAAAATTATAAATTAATAAAAATTTTATATATTTTCGTCTAAAAGTCTTTATAAATTACTTCCCTCGTTAAAAAAATATTATGTTTTTCTATGAATGACCCAAGTAGCACAATTCACAAAAACGATATCGTAAAAACTTAGCTCTGAACATTGTACAATATCGTAGCGAAATATTGTACTATATAAAAATGGACCCCTTTTATAACGTATATTCAATATTGCAAAACAATATTGTTCAATATTGTTAAAACGTTGGGGAACGTCGATCGACATCTCTCTGCATTTATAAACGTTGTACTATGCCGACCGACATCGTCAATACGATATTCAAAAAACGAATGCTGCGGAATGCCGACTGTAGTATGGTATACTACATATTAATTAAAATCATTTGTTAATTCTAATTTCATCATCTAATCATTCATCTAATTTAATAATCATTGGTTTATTGTTAATTTGTTAATAATGTAATTATGTGACAGTTTAATGGTAATATGCAAATTTTATTTAATTGTATGGTTTTTAATTTCTTCTTTTTACACTTGTAATTAATGTTATTTATTTGTCAGTATTCAATAATTCCTTGCAATATTTTCATGTAATCTTTAAGTTTTAAGCCTCAAGTATATATTTTGTAACCTTGGGAAAGTAATCTTTCTCTGTATTTATGTTCTTCCTTTAAAAGAAGATTCCTCCTTTTGTTACTTCACTGACAGCTATATTTATGTCCAGTAAGCAAACCTCTTTGTTGGATTGAGAAGGAGTGACCTCAAGTCCGTTTTTCCACGTTTCGGCTTGCATCAAATGCAAAGCGCCCCTTTTGATCTTATGATGGTGCCAAGAATGTTCCAGAACATTCCACAAAATTCTTTTCCAGGTGTGTCACCACTTTTGACAACCCTGCTTCATGTTTAGCGTGGAGCATAACAATTAACTTCGCCAGTTGGCCAATATTTGCAGCTCTGTGATTTGCCCCTCTGATCCTTCTCCGTCCAACCAATGCGATATTCGTAAAATTTTAATTTTTTTGGCGAGGTTTCCTCGCTTGTCTTCCTAATGAAGAAATAGTTAGTCGTTACTTTTCCCCTCACAAGTGTTTGTTTGTTTTTTGTATTCGGCTGAGGCCGTTTTATTTTTGTTGGCATGTTTACTAAGTTGTTCAATAATGTTATCTTTTTTAATAAATAGTTGTTTGCATCTTAAAGAATGTGTCTGGTGAGTAATTTTACTGTATAAGTTGTTTTCTCTTCCTTTTTTTTCCAGCATCTTCCTCGGTTGCACTTACCTGAAATTTTTTACCCACTTCCTATGTACCCCACTATCATCTTTTTCGGCCTTTACATAATTAGTCTCTAAATTTTATTTAATCGTATGCTAACTTAATGTTAGTCACCCCCTTTTTTATTTAGCCACACCACACCGAAATATAATTTTTATTAAACAGTAAAGAATAATATACTAATTTCTATAATTTATTGTATTCTTTAATACAATCAATTGTTTCTAAAACAAAACTGTCAGTTGATGCAAACTTAGTCTTCCTGCCTTCCCGGTCGTTGACGGTGGCAAGAACTTCACCAAATTTTTCGGCTTTTCTAGTCTGCTAGTTTCTTTAAACAGTCTGAAGGTAGCAGCTGAAAAAAAATAAGACATGAACTGTGGTTAATTTTAATATGTTTAAATTAAAAGACTAATAGTTATATTGAAAACATTACATGAACTAAAGTAGACATAAGCATAACGCAAGTACTACTAGCAGCGTTTATGCTAATCCCTAGGTTGATAATTCTTTTGTATACAATCAGAGCAGTTTTTATGTTTTCAGGAGCACTGGGCCTGTTTTTATATGGCGGCCCTTTACAAGTAAGTTTATAACATATGGAAAATATTATATTTTATAATATAATAGATGGAAAAAAGTTTTTCCTTGAATAATTTTTAAAAATTATTTGGTTACCTTTCGATGAGGTGATCCGGATTCCAATCCCAGTATCGGCTAGGATTGGAACCCGGCTAGTCAATACAAATTCCACATCTAACATGTGCTTACCACAGTGCTGATTCAGATATAGTGAAGTATTTTGTAAAGGTACCGCTAAGTGGTAATAAATTTGGCTTGGACACTGATCCCTGTTCTTTAACTATTAAAACAAAGTTTCAATTAGCAAACCATAATTTTAATTAAAAGGTGAGATTTTTTTCTCTTGGTTTTTAATATGACAAAATAAATGCTACAGATTGTGTTTATAAATGTAGTCATTCATCAATAAATAAATATTTAATCGTTTATCAAAATAGATAAGTTAAGCTAAAAATTTTTTTTTAAAATCTATGTACTCATTGGAATTTTTTTTCCACAAAATTTCTTTATAGAAAATCTGATAATGTCAAAGATACTATAAATATATTATGAGAAAAAAAATACCAGTTACCAGTTAATAACTCTACTGCTTCAAATAGACTTTGAAAGGAAGAATGACACTATATCAGGAAAAAAAGCATCTGAATTCATCAGCCCCCTTTTTTTCCCTTCTATTTTTGACATATTAGGATAATTTCCTTCGAATATAACCTCAAGCTTTAGAAATATACATTTTCCACTAATAAAATATAATGTAGATTATAATTCCATGCTTTTTCAATCAAAAGGTAGAATTTTAACTAACATTATTTGAATTTTTTTTTTGTTGAAAAATTAATGTTTATTAATTAATTTCTACAGCTATGCAAGTCTATATTAAGACAGCATTAAATGTGTACTTTAATCTGTACACATTTAATGCTATCCAATCAATCTCAAGAATCAAAAAGATTTTTAAAAATTTAATTTCAAATGTGTTGGAATTTAACACACACCAAGAAAGAAAGTAATTTCAATAACTAAAATTAATTAATGCTACAATTTATTTAAAAAAAAATTTAAAACTAAGAAAAGAAAACAATAAAAGTATCAATAATTTAAAACACTGTTTTTTAACTTTCAAAATCAATGATTTTTTATAAAAAAATCATTTGATTTAAATTATGATTTAAATCAACAAACCCTGATAGCTAGTAGTTGAGAAAAGACGCCATGAAAAACATTACAAAACTTAAAGAGTGGCTATCTTTTGAACTTTGAAACATACAATGCTGTACAATGTAAAAGTATTAGAGTTTAGTATACAAACTAAGCAAAATAAAACATGAAGGACCAGGGTAATTATTTTAAGGAATAACTGATCCATTTTAGTGCAAGATAATGACTCATAAAAAAGTAAAATCTTATGTCTATAAAATTACCCAAGATGGCGTTTGTAACAGCTGAGAGGCTTTCAAAACACTGTTTCCCTTTTCATTCTAATTTACAATACGTCATCGCCAATTCCAAGATGGTGCTGAAGTAAAAGAGCATAGATAGCCTTTACAGATGGTTTCAAAATAACATATCTGAAAGAAGAAAAAAAATATATACATATATAATGTTTTAATAACCATTACAAAATGTATCTCATATTTTATCATCAATTAAGACCATACAAGTAAAACGGGCATGGGATTGCTGAAGGAAGGAATTATCTAAATTTTTCATTTTTATAATATATTATATATGACTTCAGTCACTTTTCACTAAAAGAGTTCTTGCATTAGTTCTTTACTTTGTATATGAGAAGCTTTCAAAGCAATGGCCTTCGCATAAATATATTAAACATTGCAGTATCAGATTGTATGTTTACGAATCCAATTATCACGAATTCTATGTATAAATTATGTGCAGAGAAATACCAATACCATCAAAACACTTATCACAGTCATATTTGACTCAAGAATCACAACAGTTAAAATATGTTGCAAAGTTGGGACATTTTCAGCTATAGATTGCTTTTCATTTTGATATGTACAGGGTATCTGCGACATTTTAGATTTTCAAATCCCTGATTTTCCATCAATAATTCCAAGAAGTTGTCATGACTTACCGAAGTTACTATTTTCTCCGACAAAAACACAACAATAAATTTAAAAAAGCATTATAATAACATCAATTGAAATGATAGGTATAACCAAAGCTGCTATACTCTGAATCCTCGAGGCAGAATTTTTTCGAGCTATCTGCGACAAAACTCTCTAGCACAAATATATCTTTCTGCAAGATTCCTTTCATAATAATAAACATGTATGCTACTAATTTAAAATAACAAAAGCGCTATGTTTAAAAAAAAAACTTATAACTTTTTTTAAATTAAACGTGTAATTTTTATTATAACATTACATGTAACATTTTCGCATTTTGTAGGGAGGCCGGGGGACACATAAATTATTTCCTTCACCTTTTGTAACTAATCATCACAATAAAAAAAATTGCAAATTATTAAATACGCAGTAGTACTTGGCGGAAAAAAAAATATTGACGACAAATTCACACGAAACGGTCGCCTCAAATGAGTGTTTCGTTTCTGGATTAGGCTGTTGTATAAAAATATCGTATAAAAAACATCAGAATTAAAAACTTAGAAATCAGTAGCAATAACTGATAAAATTCGACAGAATTATTGACTCAAAAAGTAAATAGCTACCCAAATACAAGATTCCAATTTTTCAGGTTGTTTATCGGGATATTTAAAATCCACGTGAAAATCAACATCAATAACTGACGAAAATACAACAGAAAAAATACATCAATTTAAGCTACTATCAGTGTATATTGACCATGTCAAAAAGTTACTATTTAAATGCATGATTAAAATATAACTGGTAAATTTCTGTCAAAAAATAAATGAAGGTAATTTTTATCATATTTCAAGTCTTTCAGACATTTGTTTTAGTCCTAGAGGAGCAGACAAATTGTTATAGTACGCAGAACCAATAAAAGTAAACAAACAATAAAATTAAACAAGATCTTTGGGAATATCAGAATTGAATAATGTGATATAATTTAATAGTTAACAAACTTGGACTAAAAAAAAAAGAGGAAATTGGCGTAATTTTGGCAAATATATATACACATATCAAAACCCCTTCCGAAATTATTCATTACTTGATTAATGAGTTATTCGGTTTGGTAAGTAAGATGTAGACATATAAAATTTTCATGATTCAATTCTTTTTTTTTGTAATTTAAACATTATATATTAATTAAATACATTAAACATAATATTAAATAATAATTAAACATATATATATATATAGCTGCAAACTTGTACTGTTGAGAAAAAAAACTTCTTACTAGCAGCAACATTAGATATCTTATTAAATCTTCAGTTGACATATTAAATCAATCTAGTAGACATACTAAATCTTCAATTTNACACATGTATATATATATATATATATATATATATATATATATATCTGCAAACTTGTACGGTGGAGAAAAAAACTTCATACTAGCAGCAACATTAGAGATCTTACTAAATCTTCAGTATACATATTAAATCAATCTAGTAGACATACTAAATCTTAAAATTTCGAAAAAAAAACATTTCAATCTACCATGACAAATTAATAATTAAAAAATATGCAAATATGATATATTTGTTAGCTCACTTAGCTCTTAAAGTTTTAATTAGTTTAAGTATTAAAAAATATTTTTCTTCGAACGTACAAGTTGCAGCTGTGAAAAAATATAAACATAAGCATGTCAGAAGGCTTAACACCTCCAAACATACTATAATATTACGCCACTGTTTGCGAATATGAGAATTGAATAATGTGATATAATTAAATAGCTAAGCAGCCTGGACATGAAAAAAGAGGAAATCGATGTAATTCTTGCTATATATAATTATATATTTTAAAAACAGCACATACCTGCCAAGATCAGAGAATTCGCTCTCTTCAACAAGGTGCATTAATTCACCTTCATTTTCAGCTGGTTTGTGTTTTCGGGCTCGCTTAATCGAAACAACTTTCATTCCACTTACATTATGAGCTAAGATATAACTCTTATGAGACGAAATTAGATTTAAATATAAGAAGACAAAAGATAAATAGAGTAGCGGACAATGATAAACAGCATCTTAACGGGTTGCGGTTCCGAGTGGTATATCGTAGATTTCAGTATTTAGAGAAAACGATCGATGTCGTGACAAAAATACGATAACAATATTGATATCAAATATTGTCCGAGTGTTGTTCGGATATCTCTAAATTTATATTTCAAATTTATTTTTTGGAATTATAACATTTTGACGTCATTTTTTGTCTTTTAAATGATTAATTTTGATTTAAGAACACAATAAAGTTTAAAATGAAAAGTTTTACAAACAGACTTTTAATGTGAAATCGACGGGAATCGTACAATATCGTACCCACAATGGCGATTTTCGCCAATATTGACAATGCCGGTAGATGTAGACTAAGTCATAGAGCAGCAAAGCAAAATGAAACGTTAAAAAAAAAAAAATTCAATTTAGAAAAAAAATTTGCAAAAAAAAAAAAAAAAANAAAAAAAAAAAAAAAAAAAAAAAAAAAAAAAAAAAAATCATTTAAAATTCCAAATAACATATATTCAGAGTTTCAGAAAAAAAAAAACTCTGTTAAACATATAATGGTTCTTCTAACATGCCAAATCTTTACTCTGTTCTTAAAATGTGCTTATGATGTTCTTAAAATGAGTTTCTGTTTTTTTTCTCGTTCAAAAAATATGTACAATAATAGAAAGGCTCTACATTATAGTCCCATCACAACCAATATATTTAACAATCAAGCAATATTATCAAATTTTTAATAATATAATGTTAATATTCAGCAATAAAAAATACGACAGTTTACTTTAGGTGTATAGAAATAGAATTGAACTTAAAAGGGCCCCATCATTTTCAGTAGCTTAGGGCCCCGCCAAGCTTAAATCCGGCCCTGACTGTAATCACACATTGATGACATTAGTTGTTATCGCTCGTCATCTGCAGAGTGTTGAATGTTCGTGGTTGTCTTATTGCGATATGTTAAGGGAATGTTAATATTATTAAAGTTATGTTACTTCATTTTTCGTCAGGATTTTTAATATTCTCTCATCTAAATTCATTATCACCAAAATCTCCATGGTGCCTGTGAACTGCCTCACTGTTTACTTCCTTATCAGTTAAGACTATCTGCAAATAGATATGAAGATTCAATTAAGATTTATCGCTCTGTCAAATGCCTAAAAATATGATATTTTTAAAATTAGATAACACTTGTTTTGCAAGGTTTTAGAAAGGTAAGCTTGCTTATTAGTTTATAAGTTTTTGTCTTTAAAGTAAAAAAGAAAAATCCTGTTAATACAGGGATGTGATTCTTCCGCGGATTCGCGGATTTCCACTTTTTTTCAGATTTGTTCATTTTTCCTGCTAATTTCCGAGGAAATTTTTTTTTTGGAACAAGTTAAAATATTTATGAAGAATTTAATTTTCCACGGAGCGAAAGTATTGAAGTCCTCATTCCTCCCTCTGAAGCTTCTCTAAAAATCATTTCCGTGAAAAAAACCGGTTTACCTTTATACAGGGATGAGATTTTTTCGCTTTTGCCTTTCTAATTTCAGCCTTTTTTTTTATCAAAAACTNGCTTCTCTAAAAATCATTTCCGTGAAAAAAACCGGTTTACCTTTATACAGGGATGAGATTTTTTCGCTTTTGCCTTTCGAATTTCAGCCTTTTTTTTATCAAAAATTCCGATTCTCTAAAAGTTTCGTTTTTTTATAAATGTCCCGCTTTTTTTTTTTTTGAGAATTCAGACGTTGAAATAAAATAATTATATTTATTTACGATTTTCAAAGGCAAAGAGAAAATTCAAACTACGTCCTAGCTGACCCTTCCGTATTTTTACTTATTTTAGCTATTTTCTCCGCTTTTACGCACAGAAAATAAGATTTTAAGTATTTTTATTCGTCCGCCCGAAAGCTCGTATTTTCGCAATTCAAACAATTGACCCTGTTATCTAGCGTGAAAGCAAACGATAAAATAAAAAATTTAAAAAAAATAGAGGTGGATTTGCGGTAAAAATATTTATTTGCTTATTCAATTAATCTGGTAAATGTTTATTTATTATGTCTAAGCAAAAACAATACAAACACGCCTTTTAGAAATCCCAAGTCCAGAATCTGCAAATATCTCGATTCTTATCCACGCGATTTTAATATCAATCATCGATTTTCGTATTTTCCTGATTTAGTTGCGATTCTTATTCAGGCGACTTAAATATCGTACATTGCGATTCTTATTTACGAGATTTAAAAATCCAATATCGCGATTTGTATTTACGTGCTTTTAAAACCCTAAGTTAGCGATTCGTATTCACGCCAGCTTAAAATCCAATGTCGTGATTCGTTTGTGCAGTTGTAATATCAAACATCGATTTTCGTATTTATACGTACGTGCTTTAAAAGCACGTGCTTTAAAAATTAGACATTGTGATTTGTATTCGAGCGATTTAAAAATTATGCATCGTGATTCCTATTTACGTGATCTAAAAATTACGCTTCATGATTTGTATTTTCGCATTTTTCAAAATTCGATATAGAGTTTCATATTCACGTGATTTAAAAGTTTCATATCGAGATTTATATTCTCTCAATTTGAAATCATGCATGTGATTCATATTCATATATTCATACAATTTTAAAATTAATCATCGGAATTTATAATCACATGGCTTACAAGTTTAAAAGTCGCACCTTTTTTGTCAAATTTTTGTATAGATAAATATATATATATAAATATATATATTCATCCTTGGATTTCCTCTTTTTAACTTTCTGACTACTCTCATCCCTGTGTTAAAAAAGTTTTAACTTTACTAATTAAACTGCATTGCTCTCAATTTTCAATAGAAAACTCAACTAGTGAAGGAAACAAGATCCACAAAAGATAAACCCCGATCTGATACGAGCGATTAATACTCACTTAGGCCGGATCAGGCTATTGGTCGAAAATTACATCACTGTTTGGGGGAAGGGAGATGGTGGCTTTTGGCTGGTGTTTGTATGATTTTGGCGACAAATTTTGTATTAACATGTGCTTCGGGATTTATTTCTTCCTTGTAAATGTTAACATAATATTATGTCGTCGTTAGGGTAGGGGAGATAGGTAAATGTCCTTTTGAGTATTTCAGACAGTATTTTTGTTTTAATTGATTGAAATTCATGAAAGCTAAAATAAATAAATATGATGAATGCTATACAATATTACAAATACGTTTATTGTAGCTTTTCCTTGAGTTATCTTTTACAGTTATAAAGTAACGAAGTTGATAAAAATATAAGCTCAAATTTACTGATACATCTTTATTTAGTTGTGTTATGAATAATTTTAAAAACTTTATAATCAAACAACATTTAAATTTAGTTCAAAGTAATGACCAAAATTCTGTGCTTAGCCTCCCCCCCCCTGCATTTCTAGATCAGCCCCAGTTGCCCATGAAGTAAAAGCAGTATTGTTTAATATCACTTACTTAGATTCTAATAAAAATTACCACAAAACTGTTCAAAATGTGAATATTGTCTTTATTACTTTTTGATTATAATAAATATTCCCATTCATAGGACATTTCAAACTTCTAGTTTTTACATCAGCTTAATGAACGTTTCTTATATGCTCGTATAAATTTTTATTTCGTTTAAATATTTTTTCGCAAATCACCTGATTCATAATTAATAATAACAAGAAAACATTAATAGATAAAAACAAGAAACATTAATACCACGTGTAAACAGAGCTCGTTTGAAAGCTAGATTTAAAATTTGTAGCCAAATCAAGATCTGTCGCCAATTTACTATGCAATACACAGCATGTCCCTTCCCCCAAGCAGTGATGTCATCTACGACCAATGGCGTGATCCGGCCGAAGAGAGGATTAATCGCTCGTGATCTAATCGCCCAAAGTAAATGATAGGGAAAGGAAGCATGTTGTTAAAACGGCCCTCAAAATCCAGCTCAAACTTTAGCCAAAGGCTTTCCGTCAGCTTCTGGCAAGTAACTGTCACCACAGACTACAGGAAATGTTCTCCATAGGGCTGGTTAATGGGGGGGGGGAGACGAGTTTACTCTTACCTATTGAATTAAGCCACTGGAGTTCTGAAAACAAGTTATTTTTTCTGATGAGAGTAAGTTTTAAATATTTCAACCAAAGCACATTTTAACAATTTGAAGGGAATCTTGTCAACAATTAAACATGGTGGAGAAAATGCGATGGTTTTGGGGTTGTATTGTGCATATTGGGGTTGGAAATTATTAATGTTAGGACGTCCATTTTGTCTTTTGTAGAGGTGTTACCCGGGGCGGATCCAGAAATTTTTCCTGGGGGGGGGTCACAGACTCAGATTCCCCCCCACAATTAATTTTTTTATAAAAACATTTTTTTTTAAGTATTTTTTTTTGAAGAAAAAAAAATTGGGGTTTTTAATGCTAGTCTTCTCATTTATTTTTTTTTCATAATGAACAATGGAACAATACAAAATAATTTAAGTATTCAAAATCTTTAAATAATAAATGTAATGCGTTTTTTAGAAACTATGGCAAATCTGTCAATGATTTTTTCAAAATTCAAATCAATTTCTCGATGAATGTTTAATAATGCGAGTCCATTTAATCGTTCTTGATTTTGAGTTGTTCTAATCCAATTTTTGAGACGTCGAAGAGTTGAAAAGGAACGTTCTGCTGTTGCTGCACTATCTGGCAGAGTTATTAAAATTCTTAACAACATATTGATTGATGGGTACAAATCGATGTCACAGGCATTAATAATCTTAGTAAGATCGTTGGGCACTTCAAGTCCTGCTTCTGTTTCCCGCTGCCATTTTGCATTTGGGATAATATTTCACCAAATACACCAAAGAGTTAATGGAGTACATCCCACGGAGATTAGAGGCTGTCATTGAGGCCAATGGACAGCTTTTAAGACATTAAAAAGTAAATCACCGATAATGCAAAATGTTATTTGTTTCTCAAAGTGTGCTAATAGTTTTTTTGCAAAAGAATATTAATGTTTCTTTGTTTGAATTTCTGTTAAAGCTAGTGTGCTTTTTTATTTCCATTATTGTTGTTTTTACTATGAGAAAGGTAAATAAAATCATAGTTCGGATTAGGTTGCTTGATTTGTCTTGTAAGAATTTCAATTTAGCTTAGTGTTCTAATACTTTTTTGGGGATATTTCCTTATCGTGATCTGTCGCGCCAACTACAATAGCCTTGGGTGCAAAATAGATTTTAAACTAGCAAATGCTTTTTTTTTTTTTTTTTTTTTTTTTAAACGTGTATATGTTTGCCCATGGGTTGGCTAAGAGTTATGCCTTTGGAGTTGGTCCCTTTCTGCAATGTTTTTTTTTTTTTTTTAGTTTCTCGCAGACCGCTGCCCAGATGTTGTCAAGATTTGGCGATTGTTTTGCCACAGATCACGACATGGAAATCTCTCCCTTCTATTGTCAACTATATATTTATTTACAGTAAACTACTGATTATCATCAGAATTGATTAGCTCATGAAGTGTGGACCGTGTCAACCTTTTCATAGATAAAGGTTGACACGGTCGATAACCAACCCCCCCCCCCCACATTGGTGACCTTCGGACGTGACGTGAACACTCCTATAGCACGTGTGTGCTTTAAAGCTAAGAATAACATGCTAATAACATGCATATTTAAATTGCGTAATTAAAAATTAATTACAAAAATAAATAAGAATAAAAAAAGGTTTAAGTTAAAGAAAAATTTAATTTACAACAAAAACATATAATGAAGACTTACATTGTAAGGAATTAGATTATTGTAAAGAAGGGTTGAGGAACGCGTCCTCTCTCCACGCGAGTCAGTTTGGAAGTGAGTATGAGGGTGGTTTACAACCGGTTATGCTGGCTGGATTTACCTCACTTCAGTTCGTTTTGGAGTGGTCAGGAGGGTTGTCGAGGTACATACTTGGGGACTGGGTGTTTGCCGAGGCACACCACAGTACTCCCCCCTTAGTACCAAACGTACGAAACAGTCTATAAAAGTCTATAGAGTGATTACAAGTATCGAGGATTTAACTTGACTTTTCTTCCAGAGCGAGTCATAACCGGTAAAGAGTCACCTTGCTCACATTGAACTTGTGGAGTTGAAACTGCTGGCGTTGAAACTCTCTCTTCTAGTACGGGATCTGATGTTGAGTCTATGTTTAAGAGAAAGGCTGGTTTTAGCCGGTCAATGCTTATGGTGGCTTCCTACCCATTTTTCTTAATCGTGAAATGTTTTT